TTTTTCCAGTCATTGTCAGTGAGAGGCCAGGTCCAAATGATCTAGTCTTGCATACTAGAGGCATAAGTCCTGTGTTTTATTATTTTTAAATATAAAATTATTTCTTATGTAAAGTATTCCCCTTATGCCTTTGAAATCGTATGTAATGTAAAGCCCACCTTCAAAACGCAAGCCCAATAGATTAGTAATTGTAGGGATACCATATGGATTTTTAAATGAGTATTTAAAATAATCCCTTTGTTATATAATTTCAATATGGCTGCCATCAATCTCTTCCCTCCTTGTTTTCACATGCCATGCTTTACATTGAGAAATGAAGCCTAAATATCTAACCCCTAAATCTGAGCTGGTTTTAGTTCCTTGCTTCAACAAAAGTGCAATACCTATGAATCCTGGGATTTCTCCGTAGAAGTTATTAGCCCCTGGGATATTGTGTAGAACCTTCTCAATTGATGCTGAGAACTGGCATCAACTGCAGCCATGGAAGTGAACCACCTTGGATATGCAGTCAAGTTTAATGACATCTGACACCAATTGTAATTCTTAAAAAAGAATTGTCACAGAACTATGACAGTTAATAATTTTTTTAGCTACTAAATTTTGGTAAAGGTCAGTTTAGCAACAACTGATAATCAATATGTCCTCAAAGGCTTTATCATCAAGTGAAGAAGACACAAAACTATAGTCTAATGACCAAGTGTTGTGAAATTATACACAAGGAATTATAAAACATACTAAGAGACAACTTGAGAGAAGATACTAGGGACCTAGTAAAGGCTTTCTACATGGGTTAGTATTTAAAGTAAAACTTACAGGCAGAGTAAAAATTATCCAGGTAAAAGAAAACCAGAATAGCATTAAGGAAACTAAAAGTATTAAAGTTATGATGTATTCAAATTATTGGGAAACAATGGCTAAAAATGACACTGCATTGGCAGTTAGGGGCTGTATCATGAAAAGTTCTTCATAAGCCAACTTAAGGGGTCCACAGTTGACAGTGTAAATGATAGGGAGCTACTCTAATCTGAGAGGCAGCATTGCCCAAATGGTCTTTAAATAAATCATCTATAAACTGCAATTGAAGAGAGAAGAAAAGAAAAATCGGGGTTAAGGCAGGGGAAGGAAACCATTGTAATAAGTCAGAGGTTAAAGAAGGAGACCCTCACTTAATTATAAATGGAGAAATGAGATGGATTTAGTGATATTTTAGAGAAAATTAAAATTAGATTTGTGATGTATTGAATTTAAGGTCAAAGAAGAAGAAGAAATCAGGTGTGACTTCCATGCTTTTTACTTCATAATAGGGAAAAAAAATCATGTCCAAACTCATATAACATGGGAAAGATATTGATTTGAAATATTGAATTTGAAATATCTATACAAAATTAAGTAGTGACATCTAGCAAAAACTTGAATATGTAAATATCCTGCATGAATTAATTAAACTTGGAAAAGTCACTCAGTTGTTCACTTTTTCATTAAACGGTTATGAAGTGACTGTCTGTTGTCAGGCCCTATTCTAAATTCTTAAATTAGAATAGGACACCAAGCAGACAAAGACTGTTGGTAGAATATATTCCAATAAGGGAGAAAATAGAAAATTAATAGCATATAAACTGATAGTAAACAGATAAAAATGGCCTGTGAATTTAGACAAAGTAGGTAGGAGAGGTAGGGGATCTAGATGGAAATGTTTTAAAAGCTATCAGGGAAGAGAAGTTATTCTCAAGAAACAGTAAAAGAGCCAAAGGCAAAAAATAAAAGTGTGGCAGTACTCTGACATGTCACGGACATTAGGAAATAAATTAATGGCAATTTTCATTTATATAATGAATGGTGAAAAATGCCTAAGGGATTATATTACCTGATGGATAATTCTTAATTTTATTTTAAAATAACAAAGTCTTTTAATGTTTGGTAAAAGATGAAACCAAAATAGTAACAGCATGCATTTTTTAACATAATGCAACATCTCTGAAATGCTGAGGCTCTGCAAAATATATGAAAGAAGTATATCATAAAATCTTTTACCAAAAGAAGATGAAAACATATAAAACAGTCAACTAACACTAGAATCCACTACATAATTGAAAACTTACATTTGTAATATTGGACATTTTTAATGCATTTTTTGTTGTAAGTGTCATGTATACACACAATTTCACAAATGTTTGTTTTTACTCAATTTTGTGTATTAGCTAAAGTTTTTGTAATGCAAAGGGAAATTTTGTGCCCATTGTAGCCACAAAAGGCTTACTAAACACAGAAATATCAATTTTCTTGTATGTGCATTGAAAAATTCAAGATTTCTAAACCTATGTCATATGCCACATTTTATAATTTGTTTTAAATTAGCTACAGTCATCAACCTGAAATGACAGGGAAAACAAAAGTAGATATACTATAAGTGCATCTTTCCCATAAAATGGAAACTCCTGACTAGCTAATGTAAGATAGGAGACACAAAGAGCTTCATGGATTTTCTTCCTTGCAAGGAGAAATGCTTTCTAGATTGCTGTGCACAGATACATTGTATAATATGACCTGCACTGTCATCAAATTGACTATAAGAAAACATAAGAGGGCTTGAATCCAAAACAAATGACTAAAAGGAATAGTTAGAATTATATTTAAGAAAAACAAAGCAATTTTATGACTTTGTTTTCAAAGGCAAAGGGAGTAGCAGGGTATTGCTGAATTTGTGTTGTTTAGTTTACAGCTTTTATTTTTCAGAGCCATGTTTAATACAGCTTTGATTTATTACTGAGCTTGATTGTTCTCTACAAATGACTCAGCTTTTCTTATGGCAAGTATGTTGTAAGTATGCTAAGATCATCTGTTTTCATTTGTATCATAATTACAATACATTACTTACTTTAGATCTCTAAATATTATTGTCCTCTTCTATCACATGTTTCCTGGCAAAGTTTCATAAAATTTGTCTTCTTATTATCTCCTGTTACAAATGATATTCCAGTGCCATAAATGTAGAAAAATAGAGTTAAAGGGAAAAATGTGTGCCCACATAGAAGTCTTGTTGCAAATACCATGTATGAATGACATCAGAATATTTTATTTCCAGAAAAAGACATTATTACTATGGCAAGAATAAATACATGTTGAATTTGAAGTGATAAAATTGATATGATTATGTTTTTGTATTACTATTTTGTATGTCTGTTAAATATAACTTTTTATACTCAAGTTTGTTGTACTGCTTAATAACTGAGAGGTATAAATGTAAGAAAACATGGTAGAAGATACTTTGGAAATAGAAAAAAAATCATGTGTAAATGCAAAGAAAATAAAAAGTCATATTTAAAGAACAGGCAATAAAAATGCACATTTATATTATTCAGCTGCCACAATACTGTAAATTCATTTTCTAACTGTGCAGTCATGTGGAAGATTTTAAAGTGGTGAAAAATAAAACTTCCAAGAATTTTTTCAGTATGAATAACTGAAAAAATAGGGTGTTTTTGTACATAGATAAATAAAAAAGATATATAAAGAAGAGATGTAAAAAGAGTAAATAAAACAGAGCTCCAAATATGCCCCAAGAAGTTATCCCAAAGATTGTCAGGCATAACTCTGCAATTTTACGTAAAACCTTCCATGAAAACTTTTTTTCTATTTCTGCTAGAAAATAATGGGAAATTCTAAATATGGTTATGGTTGCTAGGGTTATCATTAAATGAATGGCACCATAAGTAATTCCACCTTCTTTCTATTGTTCTGCAATTTACTTATTATGCATAATCCACCTTTTCAAAAGGAATTTTCAGATTTAATGTACTTCATGTCTTCTATGGTTTGTAGAAAAAAAACAACTCAAGTAATCATTCACATATGAATAAATATTTGTAGTTTGGGGATAAACATAGATATAATATGAGGTAAATCTTTGGGGATTCTAACTTCAAAAGTATTTCAATCCTAACTGTGTTTCTTGTTTTTTTAAAAAATGGATTATTTTCTGTGAAAGGTTGGTGGAAATTTTGTATACTGTGTGAGCAATTTCTCTTCATTTTTATGTGAAAGTAAAGGGAAGCTCTGTCTACCTATAGTTCTGGTTTGCATATCTTAATTCTCAGGGAGCATCATTTCTAGAAAAATCAACAAAAGCTAAGAGAACTAAAGTTACATTGCATGCCAGTGGTGTTTCAAGGTGGTGGCCAATCCACACCACCTTTTGATCTTAGAACACCTTGGGGCTTCAAAGAAATGATGTTTGAATATAGTTAAATGATGCAAAGTGAGTGAGAGAATTAGTTTGCCAATTGACATTTCTTACCTCTTGTGAGGAAGCTATTCTTTTTTTTTTTTTAAGCTCTAAAAAAAAAGAAAGAAAAACACTTTCAATCAATCGGTCATCACTGTTTTTTTTTTTTTTTTTCACATAAAATCATGTCAAGAGGGAATTTTTATTTCTAGGTCTGGATGTGTATGGGGGGGCATACTTCAGTTTGGGAAGACACTAATGGAATATGCCACTTCCATTAAAAGAAAAATAACCCCTTTTCATTTATTTCTGCATATGTTTTCAGATTTAAAAAGAAAGCCCTAATTCGATAAATACACAATATCTAACTAAAACTATTTCAATAAGGTATTCATAAATGGGATCATACACATCTATAAATGACGTAAACCACTACACACATCTATAATAGTTTTTAAAACGTGGGCATTGACTAGAAAATATACATTGGCAGTCTGCACTGCAAACTTTTGTTTAAAGCACTAGATAGAATATCAAGTCCTCTGTCAATGACAACAGAAGGTTCCAGTGAACTATTTGTTTCATAACCCTGTCTCTAGCTGACTCTACTTCTCTGCAGCTCAAGTTGCCAGCAAATGCTGAACTGGAGCATGAGAGTCAATCTTTGTTTGGTTAACAAATTCCCCGAAAAATATGCCCCCCAAACCCCCAGGAGCAGTAGTGATGTCATATCCGTTGTCCAGGTCTCCACACCTCCCTCAGCAGTTACTCCCTTTATCTTTTTCTTGGGTCAAAACTTTTGAGGTGGGCTGGCTCTCTAGCAGCAGCGGGGGAGAGGATAGACTGGGGCGCGCCAGTTGGAGGAGCTTCAGCACCTCGGCCAGCGCCCACTGCAGCCCAACCCACCCACTTGAGCTCCCGGACTCCCTGCTTTGAGAATGCCTGCGGAATGATCGCCCCCCAGGGCGGCTGCCGCTGCTGCCGCTACTGCTACCGCTGGTGCTGTTCCTGCTACTGCTGCTGCCACCGCCTCTGCCTCCACTCCGCTCTGAGTGGCAGGCAGAAAGTGCAACTGACGGGGGAAAGGTCTCTGCAGTGAGTGGAGTGGCTACATAAAAGAGAGTAAAGAGGGGGCAAAAACCCAGATCAGAATGCAGGCGACGTCCAACCTTCTCAACCTCCTGCTGCTGTATTTGCTTGCTGGATTAGATCCTTCCAAGGTATGGACAATATTTTGACTCTTGTTTGAAATAAATGTGCAATATGTAATAAACCGACCAAAATGCAAATAAATATGCCAAAACCAGCACAGGAGACAGCTTTCAGCTACCTTGTGGTGTCTGGCGCATCCCCACTGCTTGGAAGATAACAAGGTGAACTACCGGAGGAATAGCTCCTCAAGGTAGAGTCCTGGTGTGAGTGGGGGAGGGACCAGGAGCGAATACAATGTGTATGGGCAGCGGGCAATGCGGCTCTCGGGGGAATTTAGCTTATTCCGTGTCCAACTGCTTGATGTTCTCTCCTGAAGTAGGACGGGTAATGCAAAGGAGTTTGCAATTGAAACAATGCCATTTATAAACATTAGGAGATGGTGAACCGTTTCTTTGTTGAAAGCAGGGAAGCGTTTTCCAGCTGATGCTGGTCAATAATACTCCCATCGCAGATGTGCTGCGGTTTGTGTCCAAAACATTTGGGATGCTGCTTGTAACACACATGGCAAAACGGCAGAGATATACTCTCTGCCATGGCTAAGAGGCGTCAGTGAAAGGGGCTTGTGTTTGCTTCTTTCTTTTCATTAAGGAAATTAGGAAAAACTGAGGAAGTTCTGATTTATCAGTGAAACAGGAAGTGAGAACCTTATCAAACTAAGGAGGGCGATAAGAAGGATGAGTCTTCTCCTAGCTGTTGAACTCTGAAAATAATCCAGTACTGGCAATTAAAGTGATCACTAAGCTCCTTTGCTAGAAAGTCAGGAAAATATGGAAAAATATTTTCAGATATATGTGAGAAAAGTCAAGTGTGGTAATTTCAAGGCTTTCAGCATTCTAAGAAAATCATAATTATCTGGAATAAGTTGGAAGCATCTGGGGAAAAGAATGAGAGAGCCAATTATTTTTATTATTTTACTTATTTAACGGTGTAAAAGCAATTTGACAATCTTGGGGAAAGGATGCTATTTATAAAAACTATCTAAAGCTGTATTTTGGAATATTGTAAAGTTGTTTTTGAAGCTTTACATCATCTGTGTAGTGTTAGAGAAATTCTTTCCTTTCATAACCGAATAGAACTAAGATTTTGCCAACCAAAATATAATACTGTGGTCATTCTATTTCTAGGCCTAACATAGTATATAGTGAAAACTTAGTATCATGTCATATGTACTCACAATTATTTCTGTGCAGTTTCATATTTAGAGATATCTGATGAAAATAAAATCATTTTATTTCAAAGCTAAGGTTGTACTACACTTTCATTGTGAAAGCTTCACATGGAGCGTGATTTCTATCTTAATAATCTTAATAGCATGTTTTGTATACTAAGATGTGGTTCTAAGGCATTCTACTCGGATGTTATAGTGTTGATTCTGTTTTCATACTTTTAAATCATTTCTTTTTGCCTCTGCATGTGTAGTGGCATATTTCACTGCCAATCTTGAATGATTTTTGGTTAAAACTTTTAAACACATTCCATAATATAGCTTGCTTGAAACATGATTGATAATTTTTTAAAAAATCAAAATTAATTACTGAGTTCACACAGAAAAATCACTTAAAATAAATATTGTCATTCTTTGAAAATTCAAATCTGTGGAAGACTAACAGAGCAATGGAAGGGCATCAGAGGGAAAGAGGAAGGGAGGGGAGAGATTAGTAGTGGACACTGAAATCTGCATTTGTAAATGTGTCAATATTAATCCCACTATATTACTACAATGCACTAAAAATTTACCTATGTAGAACTTCATTAACAATTGAATGTATGATCTTATTTTTCTGATATCTTGAGTGCATACATATCTTCATTGCTTGCCTTCAATGCTTCCAAGATTATGTGTGTGTATGTGTGTATGTGTATATATATATATATATATATATATATATATATATATATACATATATATATATACACACACACACACACACTATAATCTTTTGTAAATATGGAGAATTTCCCAAATAGACAACCCATTCTTCATAAATATGATCTTTTTGAGTTTTGATGAGTTTATTTCTGCATATTAAGTGATATAAAACTTTCTAATTTGGTCAGACTGAGTGTGAATGTTTGGCACAACTGACCTAAGAAATCCAGGGAAGGAAAGTAATACATTAACTTTTCAAACTGTCCTTCTAAGCTTCTAGATACTTCAACATAGTATACAAAGAACAAAAGATGATATATTGTTGAATACCACATATCACATTATTGGGAATATTAAAATGTAAATAACAATATTTAATTTTAATGGTATCAAAATTTTGAGGGTTTGTAGATAAAATATTCCTTTTCAAAGGATGAAAATGCTATTTTTGTATTTTATCAAACCATATTTGGTTACCAAACTATATTGTCCTCCTCAAAAATGAATTACAAATTTCATCATTGTGTTCCCAAACTAATTTTCACTTTGGTTATTAACTACATATTTTCTCAGATTTTATTTACTATTGCTCCTAAGGGCTTGGATTTTTAAAAATTCAAATTTATTTATTTAACAAGTTGGAATTCATACAAAAATTATGTCAGGTTAAATTTAAAAACCCAACAACATAGTACCACGGAAAACCACATTTGTGATGCAAATAAGCAATAGTTTAAGCAATGACACTTAAATAAACAGAAATTCTAACAGCTGCTTTTTTACATACTCATATGTTAAGACTATTATTTATTATCACAGAATTTCAAAAATATATTCATTTTTCTTTAAATATAATTCTTATTTTTATGATTATTATAAACATATGTATAATCACTCATGGGTAATCACAAACTGATAAAATAGGACAGCTCTTAAAATTGAGCAGTTTGTTTTTTTAAAGTATAGGATTCCATACATATCAAATATTCAAAATCTTACTGAGTACCTTTTGTATTTAATATACTGAAAAAATAGTTTGCTAAGAACAATACCAACTTTATCTATGGAAGACCACATAATATTTGCATTTATAATGATTTTTTTTCCTGTGGTTGAAGCTTATAGATCTTATATGACAGTTTTGTTAAGTGCTTAAGTATCGCCATCTTATGGTTAGCTTGAAAGTCAATTTTATTTTTAAATTCCAAAGAAATGACAAAGCATCTATATTCACGATGAACTTACTTTCAGTGTGTACATACTTCCTTTTATGTCATTTAGTACATCAGAAAATTAGCAAGATTAATATTTTCTTCCAGCAAAGGAAAGCAATTCACTGCTAATTAATTATTTGTATTTTTGTGTAGACATATTATTGATTTTTCTCTTAGGAAAATTATTTCAATTATGTTTTCTTAATTAAAGTCTGATTAACAAGTTTCCAGTTCCTTGTAGAAAAACTCATGGGTATATCACTTTGCCTATTTTAAGAGCTGTCAATTAATTTCCTTTGTAATGAGTGTTTGAGTTATAGGCAATATGCCAAATCACCATTCAATAAGTAAAATTTTATAAACTGAAAACTTGCAGGAATTTGTTTATTGTTCGGTTTCATAGGGAAAAGGCTATTGCAGGGCAGGAAATTCCTGATGGTGGCTGCTAGATGGCATCTCTGTGCTTTTAAACTGAAGGCATTGAGTTCAGTAATGACCTTGATAGTAGGAGAGTGGACTCCTTTTTTCTTTTACAAGATTTTTAGCAGGCTGTTATTTGAACATTGTAACTAAACAGTAATTCCTGAGAATCAGCCATGAATTTCTCTGCTTTGCAGAGCTGAACTATGAAAAAAGGAGGATGTAAACAGGCCTGTGCAGCTTTCAATTAGAACACATACTCTGGAGTCAGACACATGGGGAACAGTTAAAAAAAGGTGGTGACATGGGTATATCCACATATCATAGTGACTGTGGGACTTTAAAATAGTCCTAATCGTGTGCTAAAAATATTGCAAAATGCCTTACCAGGGGAATTATGCTATACTGAGGAAGCATTCACTATCTTCTCACCTAGAAATATATTAAACTTCTCACCATGATACTCACACACTAAAGGCATAAAATATAACAATGATTCAGCAATAATGTCCAATACCAAGCTGCTTTTTCTATCCAAAACAACCTAGGCAATTATAACTCTTGCCTTAAATAAGAAAGTTGCTAAAAAATCATATAAATATGATGGGGACTAGGATAACATTAATAATTGTGTTGTTAAATGTTTTGTAATGCAATACACCATAAATGTCTGTATTTTTTGGTATTGCTTAAGACAATAATAAAATATTTAAGTTGCCTAGAGGTTGCTTTCATACATGAATCTTGTTAAAGTTCCTTCTCTCACAATTTTTAAATGAAATTGAAAAAAAAAACACAAAAAAATAGCAAGATACATACTGAGATGACTCTAATTTCTTTTGAAATCCACCTTAAAACTCTATTTTCCCCTGAGTCTTCTGTGTGCTTAAGCCATTCTCTACAGGATAGGATCAAACCAAATTAGAACAGAGAATATGGATCAGTGGCATTTAGCAAGACCTATAATTATGCACTGGTAGACCCTAATATGATAAAAACTGGAGAGATCAAGGTAGTCCTTCTATGTTTTGAAAAAGCAGAAAGCTTCCTACTCTCATTTTATCTCACCCTCGTTAATCTAATTAAACTTTTATTTTGGAAAAAGTATATAGTTTTTCTCACTCTTTCTCCTGGCAGGTTGAAAAGGTTAAAATGGTGAAGCTTTCCTTCCTTTATCTTCTTATTCTCTGTATCTATGAAGTTGACTGTTGTGTTGATTAGTGCGTTGCTGACACACCAGGTAACATGCAGGGTCTCTCATTTCTAATCCCTACTTTGCAAGTGATGACATATACATTTATATGACTTTGGGGAATCTGTGATCTCAGGGCTCCATGCATAAAATCAGGAGTCTGGATAATCTAAAAACTTCCTTATTAACCCTAGAATGACTCTGCTTAATAATTAATAATATTTGATCCATTAACCAGAAACAATGAGTTCTTTTGTGAGGTTTACTTAGTAAGATCATAGGTAAGAGACTTGTTGATGAACCTCCTAAATA